AAGCTGAGAAATGGAGAAAGAAATGAGGTCCTGAGCAGGTTATTTGATTCCTAGATTGAGCTTTGGCTGAAACTGTAATCACTCAGATTGTTCAGTTATGTGAGCCAAAACATTTCTTTTATTGATTAAGGCAGTTTGATTTGCAATTTCTGGCTTAACTAATGGAGAAATATTTAGCTCATGGGTCAGCAGTACTTAAATATAATCTGATGAAATATATTATCATATTTAAAGAAAAACTATCAACCAGAAGTGGAGTAAGGCAGTCATTTAAGTATAGATAAAGAAAGGTCCTGTTGGCAAAATACAGAATTGCCTCTAATGGACATTTGTTGTTATTTTGTGGTCCAACATTGACCTCCCTTCCTTTTTGGGGGTAATCCCCCACTATGTCATGCATCACATTCTAGAAATCAAGAGAAAAAAGATCCTCCCTCTCTCTACTGGCCTTACACCCAGGCCAAAGGTATGTGATCCATGTGAGACAATTAGATTCTCCTGCCCAGGATTTTGAACCTTGAGAAAGAGATGTAAAGATGCAGAGACAGTTTAGAAATTATTCATAGCAGCATTGCTGTATTAGTTTTCTGTTGCTGCTGTAACAAATTACCACAAATTTAATGGCTTAAAACAACATAGATTTATTATCTTATAGTTTATGAGTCAGAAGACTCACCGGGCTGAAATCAAGGTGTTGGCAAGACTGTGTTCTTTTCTGATACTGTAGAGGATAATCTGTTTCCTTGCCTTTTCCAGCCTAGAGGCCCTCGGCATTCCTCAGCTCGAGGTCCCCTTTCTCTATCTTCAAACCCAGCAACTCTGACTTTTTTTCTGTCATCACATCTGTCTTTGACCACAGCTGGAAAAGGTTCTCTGCTCTGTGATTAGATTGGGCCCACCCGGATAACCCAGGATAATCTTCCCACCTCAAGGTGCTTAACCTTAGTCACATGTGCGAAGTCTCTTTTGCTATTTAAGATAACAATCCACAGGTTCTGGGGATTAAGATGTGGACATCTTTGGGGGACCATTATTCTGCCTACCATAGTTGCCATCATAGAGAGTGCAGTGGAAAGGTGTTCAGTGGAAACAGTGCTAATGATGGCATCCTATCCTCATCACCTATGGTGAGAACTTGGTTGTGACTCCGGCTAACTGCCTCCCTTGTTTCTGACCAGTTTTTGAGCCAGGTTTTCCAATCTTTTCAACAATTCTAAGACACCTAATAGTCTTCCAATAATTAAGTTTCTTCTTAAATTATACTGAGTGAATTTCTGAGCTCTATCTTGGTGGATAGCCCGTAATGTCAAGAGAAAGGTAACCTTAAAAGAATTTAGTTATTCTGCTTCCATGGGCAAAGACCATCTCTAGCAGAAGGTCTATACATGTTAGTCTCTTACCATAAATATTTAATTGATCTAAGTACTTTCCTCTTGTTCTGATTCTATACTCACCAAGCACCTTTTCAGTAGGCTTCTCCTATAGGACTATTATCATGGGAACAAATGTGCTGTGTTCATTTTGAGCATTCCACTCTGGGTAACAGTAATATTTCATTGTAAAGTATTAGATTGGCATCTTGGTCTGGTGAGCTTGTGTTAGTGTGTGTCTACCCCTAAAAGATGGAGCCACTCTAGATGGGTGATAAAATCAAATTTCTGTGCCTGCAAGGCTGAAGATAGGATTCTGGGCCCTGGCAAATTTACCAAGGAAATGAATGCCATCTCGTAATATTTGCGAAACAGTCTTACCTTAATCCACACTGAATACCTGGATGTAGCCACATGAATTTAGGAGTGTGTATTTTAATAGCTAAAGACCAATTGCGTGTGTGTGTGTGTGTCTTTTTGAACTGAGTACTCCCTTTAAGGGGGAAGTTGAAGGGGACAAGCCTGGAAACCTGTCTTCTACTTGTTTTGTATCTCCTGTTGTGGTTAAATATTGTTAAGATCTTTATAACTTTGTGTTGAATGACCTAAGGGAATGATTTTAAGTCCAAGGGCTTGATTTGCTTACCTTGCAGAATTTACTTTCATGTTGCTTCTTTTTTTCTTCTCCCCAAAGCTCCAAGCATGGTAGTATATCTAGTTGTTAAGTCCTTCTAGTTCTTGTACATGAGCTGCCACCACAGCATGGCAACTGACAGAGGGGTAGTGTGGTTCCTCAACTGGGAAGTGAACCCGGGCCGCAGAAGTGGAGGGCGTGGAACTTTAACCACTAGGCAATGAGGGCTGGCTCACATGTCACCTTTTACTTTACTCATTTTTTTCTAATTAAAATTTTTAAATTTTATTTTTTATGGTGAGATATATCATACAAACGGAAGAGTGTAAAAGACATATATATTGTTTTACACAAAATTATCAAGTGAAGATTGGTGCACCCACTGCCTAGGTCAAGAGATGAACATTGCCAACACCCAGAAGCCCAACATGTGCCCAGATTATATCAGCTGCCTCCCAGAGCTAACCACTAGCTTGACTGTTCCTTTTCTGTAACATGGCTCATAATATGGCAAACAGGTCATCCTGCTGAAAACAACAAAAAATGTTGGTAAAATACTGAAGAGTCAGCAAGAAGATAAGGAATTATCAGACCAAAATCTAGATCAAGGCAGGACCCAGAGAGTAAGTACAGCAATGATGTCACTTTTGCCCTATGGCATGTGTTTTACTTGGCAATTTAAGCTTGGTTTTTCTAAGCTTCAGGTGGCAAGTGGGACAGAAGACAAAGCCCAAGGCCTGGTGGAAGGGAGAAGTCTGAAACTGGGACCTCAAATGGCTACAGTTTCAAGTAAACACTCTCCCCTCCCTCCCCCAAAGACTAGAAAGAAAGTTGTCTTAGAAAGCGGAGATTTCCGGGAGCTGTAGAGGGGGCACTGGACCCATGAGACAGCCCTTCCAGGGATATATAACCCAAATATACATCTCCTGGTAGTTAAAAAAAAATCCCAAACAGTGAATATGGTTTAAAGTGGTCCCTTCCAGGCAGAAGCAAAAGCAAATCCTTCTCGGAGGAATGAACCCTTATCCTAGGCCTCAAAGAATTCTCACAAATAGTTTTCCAAGGAAAATGCAGCTCATAGTAAAAAGTAAGCTCACAAAGAATGAGAATGAGTAAAAACAACTAACAACAGAAACAGATCTGATAATTCCAATTATCTGTTAAAAGAAATAGGTAAACTAGTTTTTTTTCGTTATTATTGATATATTGCACTTAGTACAAAATTCCAAGAGTATGTGTTTAAATGAAATCTTTCTTCTTCCTCACCTTAGTTATGCTCCTTGGAGGTAACCATCTCTCAGTTTTAGGGGTTCTTATTATAACTTTAAAAAATATACTTTAAAATGTGTATTGTTGGCTTTAAAAAGGATTAAATACCATTTTGTTCCCGGGATATAGTAATCTCCTCATTTTATAATTAGGGGTATAAAGCAAACTATTTTTTTTAAGTTAATTTTGTTTTATTTATTCTTTGGTGAGGAAGATTAGCCCTGAGCTACATCTGTTGCCAATCTTCCTCTATTTTGCATGTAGGACACCGCCACCGCATGGCTTGATGAGCGGTGGTGTGTAGGTCCCTGCCCAGGATCCAAACCTGTGAACCCCGGGCTGCCGAAGTGCAGTGGGCAAACTTAACCACTACACCACCAGGCCGGCCCCTAAAACAAACTATTAAGGCTACAAAAAATTATAGTGGTAGTCTTAGGAACAAAACCCTCTAGAGAAATTTTATGGCAGGTTAGCCAGTCTCAAGAGCCTAGCTCAAGATCTGTTAACTTTCTAAAATCCCTCCTTTCCTCTTCCCCCTTTAAAACTCTGAAGTTTTAAAGTGCTATAGATAGCTTAGTTCTTAATATTCTGGTTTGTGATGTGGCATAAAAAAACTCTCAGTCACGTTGTGCAGTTAGTCCAACTGTTGGCTATCTGCCCAGTCTTGAAAACATAATTTTCAGCAATATAACCCTCATACATGGCTCACTCATTATTATGCAGATTTGGTTTTACTATTATAATTAGACTATTGGCCCAATTATGTCCCTCAAAACATAAGGTAAAAGAATATGTAACTAAGTCAGGAGATGGTTCTTGTCCCAGCTTTGTCAATAATTTGCTCTGTGACCTTGGCAAGTCACTTAACTTTAGTTTTCTCTCCTGGGTTAACAATTATCAAGATAGAATCATGGAACGTTAGAATTGGCAGAGGCATCAGAGTTTACATAGTACAATTCCTTCATTTCGTGGGGACGTTGAGTGACTTACCCAGGAGCTTTATAGAACAAGCACCCAGTCTTCGGCATCTCAGACCACTGCTCTTTTCCTTACGTTAGGCTTTCTTCCTGTATTGTTCCAAAAACAAGTGAAAAAAACAAAAAGTGAAAGCACTAAACAAATATATGGCCTTTTACAAAAAGACAGATAATAGTATTAACCATTAGCCTGCACTGTAGCCTGCTAGCTTATCTGAAACGTATCCTGAAGAACTTAAAGTTCAGAAGTTCTGAAACTATGTAAGGAAAGGTCAGAAAAATAAAAGCTAGGGAAAAAAATTAACGGGTGGCTTGGAGAATACCGTGAAGGGAAAACAAAACTCCCACACGAGTACTTATATTCTTTTATCAATTCTTTCTGATCTTTTTCTTGTTTGTGCAAGGTCAAATTGGAAAAGTGGAGACCGCTTGTTTTTACTCATTTCTGAAAGAATGGTGTGCAATAATGGCTACTTGAAATCGAATTATTTGCCTCCCCTATACTACTCATTACACCAGATCTCTAATTTAGCGCCACTTCTCCGGCCACTACCCAAAACAGCGCGCTAAGACCTGCAGAAACCACATACAATGCAAAAACTACAAGTCCCAAAATGCTTGATGGCTTATCTCCCCCGCCTCCTCACGCGAGCAGCCTCTTCGGTACTGGGAGTTGTAGTCATTCAGAGCCTTCACTTCTGGGATGTGGGGGAGGACGCACCTCTGGAGAACTGCATTTCCCAGGAAGCTGTGCGCGCCCTTCTCCGCCCCCGCCGGCGTCGGGCTCCACCCCCTCCCACTCCTCCCTCCCTGGGCTACACCGCTCACGCCTTCCTGTAAGTCCGAGCTGGGAGAAGTTCACTCCGATCAGCTGATCCCAACTGACAACAGGAGAGGAGGAAGCCCGGGAGACGGCGAAGGAGGAGTGGGGCGGAGATGGAGATGAGGATGAATCCACCGGTGCCCTGAGGAACAGCCCCTGCCCCCACCGGCTCCCAGCGGTCCCGCGACGCCGCCTCGCCGCGGCGGAGCTCCTCTGTGGTGGGGTCCCCGGGCCGCCGCGGTCGGGGAGGGAAGGGCACGGCCCTGCGCTGGGCAGGCGATAGTCCTGGAGCTCCGGCTGGCCCCGGGAGGAAGGGGGGGCGGGTGCGGCTGGGGTGGGGGTGGGGAGGTATAAACAATGGATTCGGCTCCAGCCTCTGCAAGTGTGGGGGAGATTTGGGGGGACCTTCTTTGTTCTTAGCCTCCTCTCCTGCCCCTCGGGTTGTGGTGGTGTTGCCTGGGAGGAAGGAAGGGTCAGGAATCCCAGGCCGGAGAGAGGCGTGGAGGTGGGGGCCCGAACGGGCAGGTTGTTTTGGCCTAGCAGGCGGTGAGGTGTTCTTTGGAAGGTTGATTTCATATTTTTCTTAATTATGACAAATTTTGATGTTTGTTTCCGTTGTGGGAGCTGGTTGGGCACGTCTGAGGTTAGGGTGTAAATAAGGTCTCCTAGTCACTCCTTTTGCCTTCCTTGTTTATCTAAAAATAAGACAGATTGATAGATTGATTACTGTAGGGGAGGCGTGAATATCTGAAAGGAGGGCTTCACGTGTCGTTGGGGCGTTAGACTGGGGGTCAAGGCTAAGGGGAGTTAGGAATATAATTGTAGAAGTGACAAAAGCCCCTTTCCTCCCCCAATTATCTTTTTTTTTCGAAGTTATTTTTAAGTTAGTTTTTGAGTGACAGAGAGAAAAACTATTTGTTTTAACTCACTACAGTGGGCCATAGTGGAGGAATTCTGTCTCCTGTTGCTTCAGTTTTTTTTGCAGTTAGAGAAGGGACAAAAGGAAGTACAATAATTTTTGTTGTTTTTAAACCTGAAATGTGACTCTTGTTTGCAGGTTTCGAGTCCTCAGTAGGCATCTGTGTAGAGTTGAAACAGTCCAGTTACCCTTGGATCTGTCCAGGACTTTGATAGAACTAAAGTTGATTATTATTTCTTTAGTTTTTTTTAAAGATTTTTTATTTTTATTCATTTTTCCCCCCAAAGCCCCAGTAGATAGTTGTATGTCATAGGTTCACATCCTTCTAGTTGCTGCACGTGGGACTCGGCCTCGCGTTGGACAGAGAAGTGATGCCTCGGGGCTTGCCCGGGATCCAAACCCGGGCCGCCAGCATCAGAGCGCGCGCACTTAACCGCTAAGCCACGGAGCCGGCCCTTCTTTAGTTTTTTTACAGGCCTCTTTCTCCACCACTCCCTGTTATGGGGTGCAGGTGGGAGTGCAGAGGCTTGTCCCTCCAAGGACTATTTGCTTAGTGATTTTGATTCTGAATTTAGTAACTGAATATACAGAGAATTTCAGTCTGGGAAATAAAGCAGCCAAGTCTCTTAAATGCCTTGGGCCTAGAGGTGGTGGCTGGTTTCAAAAGGAGGAACCTTGGCCATGATTTTGAGAAGAAATTTCTAGTATCAGAATGAGCCAGGGTAAGTTTTACAAGCAAGAATGAGATTTCTGTCTGGAATTTTGGCCTTGTATCAATCACAATCTTTTTTTTTTTTTTAAGGTGCACTTCTGTTTTTAGATGAGTGAAATCCTTTTCCTTCCTCTATTCTAGGTATCCTCTGAAATATTGACTTGAGGTTGGATTATATTGAAAAGCTCCTGGCCACTCTCTTTCCTTACCAAAACCTGGAGCTGAGCCTCAACCAACGAGCCCACCTCAGTGAACCCATCATCCCCTCTCAGATAGCCATAAAAGACCTTTTCGAGTTAATTTTGACCATATTATTTGTGTGCACTTTATGGAGAATAAAACCATCAAACCAAATCAACGTTGCTGCTGATACAGGAGATTAGGAGGAAGAAAATTAAAAATTCAAATGTTTGTGAGTGTGTGAAGAATTCTAATAGGACCTCGAAGGTTTTTTTTTTTTTTTTTTAAAAAGGTGTTCAGAACCCTGTGAAAGTTCTGTGCAGGCTTCAGACTTGAAGCCTGGGGAAAACTCAGTGACCGTTATATGGTGGGTGATTTCCTTATCAATCTGAGCATGAGTGCCCAGACTTCCCCATCAGAGAAGGGTCTGAATCCGGGGCTGATGTGCCAGGAGAGTTACGCCTGCAGTGGGACTGACGAGGCTGTCTTTGAGTGTGACGAGTGCTGCAGTCTGCAGTGTCTCCGCTGCGAGGAGGAGCTCCATCGGCAGGAGCGCCTGAGAAACCACGAGCGGATAAGACTCAAACCTGGCCACATCCCTTACTGTGACCCCTGCAAGGGCCCTAATGGGCATTTGCCAGGTGTTAGGCAGAGGGCAGCCGTGAGGTGCCAGACCTGTAAAATCAACTTGTGCTTGGAGTGTCAGAAGAGGACTCATTCTGGGGGTAACAAAAGGCGACACCCCGTCACTGTCTACCATGTCACTAAGATCCAAGAGTTACTGGAGGAAGAAGAGATGGATGAGGACACCAGAAGGAAGAAGATGACTGAGAAGGTTGTGAGTTTCCTCCTAGTAGATGAAAATGAAGAAATTCAGGTAAGCACTTAGTTATAGTGGAGCAGATCTGTTGTTGGAAGGTAGTTGTCAAGGAAAGTCCAGGGGGAGCTCACATTTTAATCCCTAAAACGCAAGACCCCTGAAAGCTTAAATTGCATGGAGTCAGATTTAGTTCCTTACCAGCTGTGTGATCTTGGGCTGAATTACTTTACCTCTCTGAGCCTTAGTTTTCTCGTCTATAAATTGGGGACAGTGTCTATTTCATTGGGTTGTTGTAAGGATGAAATGACACAGTGTTTGTAAAGCCTGTTGCATAAAAAGTGCTCAGTATGTGGTAGCTGTTATTATTAGGAAGAACCGATTTAGAACATTTTTCTGAATGAGAGCACTTTGGCAAGTTGTGGTAAATATGTATGCTGAGGGAGTGTGTGTGTGTGCAGGGAAAGAAACTGACGGTGGGTCCCGTGGGAGAGCTGGGCAATAAGTCATAAACATGTTATCTCCTTTTAGAGAGGCAGGTCCTTAAAAAAAGGCTTTTGATAAGGATAACATTCTCTCCAGATGGCCTCTTCTTATTTTCACGTGTAGACTTCTGATCAGTAAAAGCCAGTGAGGGCATCTGGGATTACGGGAGGGCTAGAGAACATTTGATTTGATTCCGAGTTGGGGAGAGAGTAGTGTATGATAAGAGCACGTTGGGGAGGTGATAGTGTGTGACAATTGGGGCAGGGATAGTATAATATTTATACTTTCCAGTGAAGGTAGTGTAATGTCTATACTTTTGAGTGCAGACTGCTTGAATTCACATCCTGGCTTCACCACTCACTGGCTATATAACCATGGGTAAGTTATTTAAGCTCCATGCCTCAGTTTCACCTCTACTTTAGGGTAGTAGTTGAGAGGATTCAAAGAGATTAGGAATGGAAAGGACTTATCACAGGGCCCGGCCCGTAGTTTGTTGTTTTTGTCCGTATCATGGAGTATTTGTGGTACGTTGACTCAGTACGTTTAGCAGTGATGACTCCTCAAGACTCCAGATTGGAGGAGTACCTATGTCAGTTACTGTTGAAAAACTGCCATTTACCCACTAAATATTTTTCATCTCTTTTTCCTCCTTGAATAAGCTTATGGAAATGAATTACATCAGGATTCCCATGTACTTCCATTGTCAGCTAAATACTTTGCTCACTCAGACTTTTCTTTATTGGCTGAGAGGAACTAACAGAGTTAGGGACGAGTGACCCCAGATCCCATTCTGCCTCCCTTGTTAGCAGTAATGTCTTCATTATGGATTATGCTCTAATTGGGCAACAGTATCGACTAAATATTTCATAAATGGAACACTTGGATTTGAATGATTCTTGTGGTTCTGCCACCAGTTCTCTTTAACGTCAGCCTTTGGAAAGTTATACTTTGGATTGCTGTCACTGGTGTAAAGTGAGAGGAAGGTTTGGGGTGAACCAGTAACCCTCATGGATATTGTGTTGGCACAATATTTTTTGAGGAGAGGAGGATGTGTATTTTTTTCTTTTTGTAGCATCGATACATGTTCCTTAGTAGAGAATTAGGAAAATATAAGAAAGTGTAATGAAGAAGACAAATCCAACTACCCAGAGATGATATTTCTCCATCTTTTTTTCTTGTAGTGTGTAATATGTATATAATTGAGTTGTTGTAAAGATTCGTCTTGCTTTTCCTCCCTTCATAAACATTGACCACTTCCCAGGAAATAACAGTTTATTAATTGCAGGCAGCACTGGTTGAGACTAATGGACAGGACATAGAATTCATTCTTTTTAGGTGATGATTCGTTCTCATAGAGTCATAAGTAGAAAAATACTTTGAGAAAATACCTGATTCAGTTTTCTAATGTGCATGTCCAAAACATTTAGAGATATAATTGACTGATAGAAATCTAGATTATAAATTCAGCTGGAATATAGAATCCTGGAGAGCAGGACCATGTCTTATGTCCTGTATTACATACAATGGTAGGCACATTTTGTCAGCGCATAAATGCTTATTGATAGATTGGCGATGTCACATCTCAACTTCAGTTTTTTAAAAATAGATATCACGCACATATCTGGTAAAAAACTAAGATGATGTAAAGGACATACAATGACATTTTCCTTCTGCTCCTCACCTTTAGTCTCCTTTCTTGGAACAGTCACCATTAACAGTTAACTGCATGCCTTCTAGACTTTTTTTTCATGTGTACTTATGAATATATGTAGGTATCCTTTTTATTTTTCAACAGAAATAGAACCTAATATACTTGCTGTTCTGTCCTTGGCTTTTTTCCACTAAAGGATACATCTTGTAGAACTTTCCTTATCGGTATATTGAAGTCTACCACCTTATTTAAAGGCTGCCTAGTATTTTTTTGAATGATTTTTCTATAATTTTAGCCTGTTAATGGATATTTGAGTTATTACAAACAAGGATGTGTTGAATATCCTGTGACTCTATTTAGAAATGGAATCTTTTTGTCAAATGATATGTGCGTTTTAAATTTAGATAGATATTACCAAATTTCTGAACTGCATTTTCTTAGCCTCTGAATTTCTTCTGTGAGTCTCCCCTGGGTTCTGGTCTTGGCTCATAATAGCTAAAATGTAAAGAGCTCTTACTATGGTGTTCATGTTAGGAACTATTCTTAGCACTTTACATGTATGAGCTCATTTAATCCTGATAACTCTATGTATTAGTTTCTTATTGTTGCTGTAACAAATTACCACAAACTTAGTGGCTTAAAACAACACAAATTTATTCTCTTACAGTTTGGAGGTCATAAGTCCTAAAATGGGTCTGTAGGGCTGTGTTCCTTGTGGGACCCTAGGAGAGTATTTGTTTCCTTGTCTTTTCCAGCTTCAAGAGGCCTCCTATATTCTTTGGCTTGTGGCTACATCATCCAGCTTCAAAGCCAGCAGTGTACCATCTTCCAACCCTGCCCCACCCCCTGCTTCTATTGTCATGTTGCCTCCTGTGTCTTTCTTGCCTCCCTCATCTAGGGACCCTTGTGATTACATTGGACCCACCCAGATAATCTAGTATAATCTCCCCCATCTCAAGGTTCTTAATTCAGTCACATCTGCAAAGTCCCATTTGCCTCATAAAGTGTCATATTCACAGGTTCCAGGGATTCTGATGTAGACATCTTGGGGGTTGTGTGCAGGTGATTTCCCTCCACCACACCCTATGAAGTAAGTTTTATGTCTTAGCCAGTTTGGCCTGCTATAACAGAATACCATAGATTGGATGGCTTATAAACGCCAGAAGTTTATTTCTTGAAGTTCTGGATGCTGGGAAGTCCAAGATCAAGGTGCTGGCGGATTCGGTGTCTGGTGATAACCCACTTCCTGATTCATAGACAGCTGTCTTCTCCCTGTGTCCTCATGTGGCAGAGGGAGCTCTAGGATCTCTTTTAAAAGGGCACTAATCTTATTCATGAGAGCTCTACCCTCATGACCTAATCACCTCCCAAAGGCCCCCACCTCCTAATACCATCACATTGGGGATTAGATTTCAACATATGAATTTTAGGTGGGCACAAACATTCCATCTATACCATTGCGTTTATAGATGAGGACACTGAAGCATAGAGAGATGAAGTAACTTGCCAAGGTCAAGTTATAGTAGGTGGCAGAGGATTTGAACATAGATATCTGGCTCTAAAATCCTTGCTCTATGACACTCCTGCTGTCTCTGACCAAGTCATTTGAACTTTCTAATTAAGCTTCATCTGGTCCATAGCATCAGCTCACCAATTCCTCGTAGTTGCTGTGAGGATCAAATGAAACACAGCTCTGTATGAATGTAAGACAGTGTTATTGTTGAAGAACTCCTTACTCAGAGCAGTAGAGGTTCTATGAGTTAGGCCCCAACTTTGTTTTTGTTTTCATATTTCTAGGCATTTGTGGATTTTGATAATTTTCAATTCAGTACATAGGAATTATTTTAACAGTTTGTAGGCTGTAACTTGTGTGGTTTCCCCAAATTCTATGGCCTAGAGTCCCCTAAGATTTGTTGCTTGTGATTTGAGTGTTATTCAGTTTCTTTTGGAAAACCCAGAAGGACAAAAACTTCCTTTCAGAAGTGAAAATTTTATCATTTCCTTGTCATTTGAGTGTGTACTATAGTGGTAAATTTGAGGACAGTCTGACTTTTGGTCTCAGAAGCAAGAACTCATTTGTGGCTCTTAAATGGACACATTTCATCTGCTAGCCAAAGACATTCATTCGTTCATCACATTTATGGGGCATATATTCTGTGCCAGGCACTTTCTAGGTTCCAGGGACACACAGTTTAATAAGACTTGGTCCATGGGCCGGCTCCGTGGCTTGGCGGTTGGGTGCGCGCGCTCTGATGCTGGTGGCCCGGGTTCGGATCCCGGGAGCGCCCCGAGGCACCACTTCTCCGTCCAACGCGAGGTCGAGTCCCACGTACAGCAACTAGAAGGATGTGAACCTATGACATACAACTATCTACTGGGGCTTTGGGGGCAAAAAACTGAATAAATAAAATCTTTAAAAAAAAAAAAAAAAAAAAAAAAAAAAAAAAAAAAATTTTAAAAAAAAAAAAAAAAAAAAAAAAAAAAAAAAAAGACTTGGTCCATGCCGTCATAGAGCTTACCAGTCAAGTGGGCAAAGCAGAGTTCACACATGGAAGACACATAAAAAGATGGTTCAGATATGAGAAGTAGTATTAAGGAGGAGTGACTTGGAAGCCACTTTTGCAGGATGGTCAAGGAAGGTTTTATTGTAGAGGTGACTTAAGCAAAGACCTGATGGTTAATACTGCCTGGAGAAATAGACCTCTAGACAGGGCGGAATGGGAACAAAAAAAAGGTGGGATGGTATGTTTGAGATATAGAAGGAATGCCAGTGTGGCTGGAATGAGCTGGAGGAGAGAGGTGAGGAAAGAGGCGCAGAGGTAAACAGGTGCCAGATCACGTGGGGCCTTGCCGGCCGTAGAAGTAAGTGTGGATTTTAAGTGTAATGCTTAAACTTCATGCTAGAAAGTCACATGATCTGATA